TTTTAGGTCCTCCCGGGCCGTTTGCGATAAAAACCGTTTTCCGACTTTTTACGGGATCGTTTCCTGATCCGACGTCGTTTTAATAAATTTCTCGAGTTAATCGCGAAGTTTTACGATTTACTCGACCTTTTTATTAAAAACACGTTTTTTACGACTTTCTCGGCGTTTTTTATTAAAAGCGCGTTTTTTACGATTTTAACGAGAAATCTCGAATAAATCATATAGTTTAGGCAATGTTCGGTGTTCCGTTTAACCGTTGCCGTTTTATACGATTTCCTGGAGTTCTTTCCGAGAAAACGAAGTTTTACGGTTTTTATCGTAAAACTCGAATGGTAAGTCGGATCGAGGTGGAACGAGAGATATTTCGACCGTGGTTTAGAACGCAACCTTGTCGAGAGACGTAAGTTTTGAATCATGAACGCGGGAAATCGAGACGCGGAGTGTTCGGGAAGTTTTTAGACCGCCCATCGGCGATCTAAGCCGGACCCGGCTTAGATCGCCGATGGGCGATCTAAAGATAGGCGATCTAAAGATGGGCGATCTAAAGATGGGCGATCTAAAGATGGGCGATCTAAAGATGGGCGATCTAAGCCGATGGGCGATCTAAAGATGGGCGATCTAAGCCGATGGGCGATCTAAAGATGGGCGATCTAAGATGGGCGATCTAAGCCGATGGGCGATCTAAAGATGGGCGATCTAGGGAGTGTTCCTTAGATCGCCCATCGGCGATCTAAGCCGGGTCCGGCTTAGATTTCCGATGGGCGATCTAAGGAGTGATCCTTAGATCTCCCATCGGCGATCTAAGCCGGGCCCGGCTTAGATCGCCGATGGGCGATCTAGAGGATGTGTCTTAGATCGCCCATCGGCGATCTAAGCCGGGTTTGGCTTAGATCGCCGCTGGGCAGACTAGTTGCGACTAGTTCGCGTTTCACGGCTTTTTCGGTTTTTTGCGGTTTTGTAAAACGATTTCTTGAGTTTTATAAAACGGCTCTCGAGTTTTATAAAACGATTTCTCGAGTTTTATAAAGCGATTCTCGAGTTTTATAAAACGATTTCTCGAGTTTTATAAAGCGATTCTCGGGTTTTATAAAACGATTTCTCGAGTTTTATAAAGCGGCTCTCGAGTTTTATAAAATGATTTCTCGAGTTTTATAAAGCCATTCTCGAGTTTTATAAAACGATTTCTCGAGTTTTATAAAGCGATTCTCGAGTTTCATAAAATGATTCTTCCAGTTTTATAAAGCGATTCTCGAGCTTTATAAAACTGTTCTTTTTGTATTCTTGCGGAAAGTTTTGGCCATTAATTCCGTCGTACCGATTTTGACCCCAACAAACCATTTTACGATTTTAGACGAGATCGTTTCCTGATACGATGCCGCTTTTATAAGATTTCTCGAGTTAATTGTATAGTTTGACAATGTACAATGTTCCGTCTAATCGTTGCTGTTTTATACAATCTTCCCGAACCTTATGAGAAAAGAAGACTTTTACTATTTTTATCGCTCGGGACGGTCAGCTCGACGTATGGCAAACCGAACGGGTTGGTTCAGCTCGTTGTACGGCGAGCTGCTTTGAGGCGACCAGCTCGCCGTAGGGCGATCTGGCTTTTTCGAACCAGCTCGCCGTACGGCGAGATTGTCCGGGACCAACCAATTTGCCATATGGCGAGCTGAACCGGATGGTTCGGCTCGTCGTACGTTGAAGTGGTTCGGTCGAATCTGCTCGCGATTTACGGCGGATGCGGTTTTTCGTGGTTTTTTTCTTAACTTGGACAATCGTGTAATCGGCGATTGTGTCGTTCGTTCTTCCGAGATGACGATCTCCAAGTTTTCCGAGGATTTCCTTTGTTCGGAAAGTCCGTAGAATTTTATAAAACATCGTGTTTTATAAAACGTATTTTTAGTTTTGCGGAAATTTTTGGTCATTGATTCCGTCGTAGCGATTTTGACCCCAACAGGATCTATTCCCATCTTCCTGCATATTCTCTCCTTCAACAACAAATAAGTGATCTCCGCTAATGATGATGTACTAAAGGATATACCATACAAACGACCATCGGTTGGAATCCATTCATAATTATCTCCAGACTTAGAATAATGTCCATCATAATCAAAGTGTATGTTTCTAGAAGAAAGACTCATCTGCAATTAAAAAAATAATTAAACCACTAAGTTATACCTGATTTATTCATGGTTATACAGTTATAGCATGTTGGTTATACGAAGTTATACCTTGTTACACAAATTTTTTCAGTAAACAACTTTTCCAACTTTTCCCAACTTTCCAAACTTTTCCCAACTTTTCTAGTTCTAGCTATTCGTATTCTTCAATTCGTTTCAATAGTTATCAGTTTGGATTCCCGACGTTCTATCTTTTCTTTTTCTTATGATTACAGTCGTTAATTTCCAATTCCATAATAGAAAGACCATTCACACATTCTGATCTTCAATTACTCTAGTCAAAATAGAAATCTCTGTAAATCGATCGTGTATGGTGGATTCTAAACATTGGGTTACGACGAGTTAGGAACGATTTAAGATACATACTATGTCAATGGAATCAATAGCTCAATGATTCAGCATCCAAGCGGATGAATTCAACCGACCAAAGCGATGATAACGACGACGAAGAAGAAAGAAACGAATCCCGCGGATGAGGGAGAAAAAACAGACCACTCCCGATTTGGAAATAAAATAATTCAGAGGATTCTCGATTTTGACCAATTTTGACCGATTTTGATTGGTCATTAATTCGGTCAAGTAGGGAGGCGCACTTTCGACATTAACCACCCATATGGAGAGTATGAGAATGGAGAGAAGTATATGAGAATAAATAGGAGTATGTCAAAATGAATTTTGCTTCATTAAAAGCATTCCAGCATTTCACCATATAGTTTATGCGTCAGCACCTGATCTTCCACCTACAAAAATCATCTATTAAATGATCTCCACTTGGTCATGACATCACAAGCTCGTCAAAAGAGTTTGTTTGATCATAATACCATGAGTTTCTGTAGTTCTTATGATAAGGTATTATGAGCTTCTTTGAGTAAGTCGTCATGCTTCTCCAAATGCCTATTACAACCAAAACAAATTAGTTTAATGAGAATTAATTCAACAAAGCACTAGTTTGTTGCGGGTCCATCCTCGCAAAGCTATACATATCTATACTTTCTAAAGCCTTTAAATATGCCCATAGAATTTGAAGTTTCCTCTTCGTATTTAGTCAAAACAACAGAAAAATCTTGTTCTAAATGCTCGATTTTCGATGGGTCAGTAATATGAGATTTAAACTTTATCAAATCATGTTCTTTTACCTCGTCTAGATCAAAGCAATCCTGCAATATTAGACGTTCTGTATAGATTCATGTATCTTAGTTAATGTAAACCTAATAAGTAAGAACCAAAATAATTTAGTAAACATACAAAGATAGCAAATGTGAAGATAAAAGAGATACCGGAGAGGCCCGAAAGACATACATACATGGATAATAAGTAGGTTTCTGAGTCCCTTCTGTCAAAACGTATGTGTAGTGAAGTCAGACTGGGGGGGAGTGGGCTTCATCCAAACGATGAAACATAACTTTTCCTACTTATTGCAAGATATAACCATAACAACACAAATCAGTCTATAACAAGAGTTACAGAGAGTAGATGAGTTCGAGATGAAAAGTACTCACATATTATACAGATCAGACACCGCCTCGAAGATACGAACGGCGCATTAAGATCTCATAGTGGGCGACGGAATTAATTGGACAAAAGATGATGTTACAACTCCAACGGTTTCAGTCAGGATAGGGTAAGGAAACTCAAAAGTCACGCGTTACCACTGTAGGAAGGGAGAGACATTATGTAAATTCCCGATCAATCAATTAGGGTTAGAGGACAAATCTCAACTTCTCGGGTCGGTTAGTGTGGCCAATCTGAAAGCCCAACATCAAACACACGGAAAAATCCCAGTGTGATACACGTCTAAATGAAACGGGGACACGTGTCAATACGACGTAAATCGACTTATCTACGTGGCATTCGATGTGGAGGCCCTCAGAAGGACCGAAACCTTACTTTATATAAATAGATATTAATATTAGTATTTAATTGTGAAGTTTTTAACTTTATGAAAAACCTGACCAAAATTTTATTATACACAACTTTTTAGTTGAATTTCCAGTCAAATTAAAAATCTCATAATTAAATATATATATATATTATGAAAATCATGGAGGTAGAACCCCTCATTGGGTTGATCTTAGTTTCTCTTCCAGAGAAATCTCTTTTATAAGCAAATTTAATAAATTTGACTCAAATGATAAAAATTTACCCTTTTTGTCGATCTACACTGCAGTCAAGTTACTATTTACGTTAGACCAATCATAATTTTTTTTGGCTTTAATCAGACCATCTCCACCCAAACCTATTTTCTCCTCTATAATTCTCACAAAAATAGAGTAATTCTATCTTAGAGTGTTATAGAGTAACTTCATTTTAGAGTGAACCACTGAAGCAAAAATCACTCAAAATAAAATTATTCTATTTTTGTGAAAATTATAAAGAAAAAAATAAGTTTGGGTTGGAGATGCCCTCAGTACAACACAACTGTTCTTTGTCGTATAATAAGAACAGTTCGTTTATTTAAAAAGGCATTTTCTATTTGCCCCTCAATATTTTTATTTTAGGATGTCTCACATGTGTCTCTAACCAATTATAACCTATCAATTCTATTAATAAAAAAAAAAACAGAAAACTAAATAATTTAAATTTCTTTTGAAAAATGGTATACCCTTAAGTTTGGAAAACCGAACAACATTTTAAGAAAATTAAAAGAACCATTTTCTAACAAAAGCGAATCACAACGCAAAAAGACCAACAATAACTGGAATTGGTTTATCGTTCACGTAAATCTGCTTCAATAAAAATCCATCCCAAAGATCCATCCTTTCCGTCAACAAATTGCTTCATTCTTCGGTGAATCAACTTATTTTAATTGCAGACATAAAAATGGGTTGTGGAAAATCAAAACTTGATGTTGTTACGGGAAACACCAGAACGTTCAGAAAACCCTTAGAAGCTGAATCAGTGAATGGTAAAGAACATGAGAAAACTAAAAAACAAGAAAGCTGCCAATGCCAGAAAACCGTTGCTGTTTCTGCAGACCGGCCAGATACCACCTTAGAAAACAATACCAAGAAACCAAAGGAAAAAGAAACTGAAGTAGATTGTGATGAAAAGTCAGAAGAAAAGGAAGCTGTGGACGATGAACACAAAGTAGAGGAAAAGGAAACCTCCGTTCTGCCGCCGGTAATGGCAATAGTGCCAGAAAATATTGGGACGGAGGAAACATCGAACGACGTAAATAAGAGCGTTTTGATTGTGGATGAACAAAATGGTACGCAAAAAAAAAAAAAAAAAAAAATGAACCAAAATGGTACACAAATAATATCTAACACTGAAATAATTTTTGATACTATTTAAATACATGGATAACAATATAAATATTAATTGTTTGGGAACAGGAATACAAGTGTCCTTTTAATACTTTCTTTTATTTACATAAATTAATTAATTACAATTCCAAAGTTGATGGTGTTATTGATAATATAGAAATATCTATTATAATATAGTATATATTATATAAAACAATTTTTAAATATCTTATTAACTTATTTAATTTAGTCAAATAAAAATATTATAAAATTGATAACAATGCTTAGAAAACTAATGCAAAAATTAAATTTTTAGTATGTTGTTATAAATTAACAAAAGAATAACAAATAGTTATATGAATAGTACAATTACATCAAGTTAGAAAATTATTATCAAACATCTATATTATCAAATAATATATTCTAATATATATGTAAATTATAAAACACAATATATATCAGGGTTTTTAATTATAGAACCAGCTATTTATGAATAACGTTGAAAACATGTTAAATCAAACATATGCGCGAGGGAACGGTAAAATTCTATTAATCTAATTAAATGCCGATGCTCTCTTCTTTGAAAACTAGACCGGCCAACAAAATCATAAATAAATTATTCATTTTAACTATATTTAAAAAGTAAGTATTTCACAAAGATCATTTTTGTTTTTTATTATATCATGTTATTTACATTTTAAATGACACCCGATTATTTCCTACTAACATTTTTTCATCGCATGATTTTTATTTTGGTTTTCATTTGCCAAATTGAAACAAAATGTTGGCTATTTAACAAAAAAAGCCCTATATCTTGTCATGCTTTCATCATTTCCATGCATGGGGTATAAAATTCTGAAGTTATATGTTGCGGTTTCAAAACTAAATCGTTGTTTTACTATCTAAAACAGTTATTATATAGAAATTATACATCTAATGTAGATAATAAGTATTTTCCTTCAGAGATGTATTGTGTAGAAAACATTGACTCATGTGTTTTGATTTGAATAGCAGATGAAGGTGATATTGAGACGGTGGTTGAAGAGGAAAAAAGTAATGACGATAAGATTTCGGGTGATGACGATACTGAAATTTCACCTCCTGAGACTGAAGAACTAAAACCAGATGTACAGACTTCGGCAACAACAGAATCAGAAGTTCAAGATACTTTAACTTCAGAGAATGTAGAGACTATGGCCATAGAAAACATAGTAACTGCGTCCAAAGAAAACAATGAAGTTCCAGTTTTAAAGGACGAAGATAAAGTTGATCATGTAGAGGTATAAAAATGAAACTTATGGTAGTTAGGTTGATATCATAGTTTTTTGAATGAATGTTAAGTTATATTCCTTTAAAAAAAGCTGTTTAACATCAATTTTGTATTTTTGTTAATGGAAACCATCTATCTTCTATGTTGTTATATCACTGTTATGATATAAGAAAACTCTTACATAACTTGCCTTTCCGTTTTGGGTTTATGTAGGAAAATCTGGCTAAGGAAGCTGAGTCGGCATGAACAAAACAAACATATCGATCAACTTTAATCCATTTATAAAACAGAGCAATATCAAATCTATTGTTTCTTTAATTATTATTATTATATATATATATATATATTTTTTTGATCAACTTTATTTATTATATTTTAGAAAACGATATTCAAGGGATTGTAATTTTTTTCGTTTACACATATTTATAACTTTTCGTAGAAACGTATTTGAAGCTTTAGATGAATAAAGGTTTGATTGTTTTAGCAGGGGAAAATCGATTGTTGGTTGCTACAAATCAAATAAGCACAAAGGAATAACTGAAGGAATTTATGTGTGTTATTTCAGAATGCTCATACGCACTTATACACTACAAGACATTATTCTTGCTTGCCTAATCTTTGTGATTACAATCAGCTACTGACAAAAATCTCTTATATATTTATATATTAAAAGAGAAACACTACAACATTTGAACCATAACACGTGTCATTACAAGAATCAATTTCAAAATCTTTAGAAAGATAAATTGGTCCATCTAAACATATAGTGTTATGGACGAACATGTGGATGGGCCATAACCAAGACCATAAGGCCCACGTGCCTATGGTACTCAAGACCAAGAAGATAGAGGCCCAATGACTTAGACATAGGCGGCCATATGTAGTTTCCATTCTTATGTATTTCCAATTCCTTGTTGCTTTAGGAATTGGATGTTTTCCATTTATCTTCTTCTTGTAATCCTTATATAAAGGAACCTTATTCATTCAGTAATAATACACAGAGAATTCCCCATTACTTCTCTCATTCTCATCTTAGTTTATAACACATTATCAGCACGATAGTCTTACCAGAGCTAAGAAGTCAACCACCAAAATATGTATCTCTCTCTCTTTAGGCGGCAGCAGCAAAACCCTAATTCCAGCCGCCATCTTCAAAGCGACGTATCTTCCAAACCGTGTGTACCCAGACGACGAGTCACATATCAAACTCAAGCTCTCGACGAGAAGAAGCTACCAGGCCAAAGAACGTCTCAATCCGATACCAGACGCGTCATCTAGCTCAGAAACAAGCCGGTGGATGAATTTCCTTTTCTCCTACCCGAGAAACCCTAATATCGGTTCAACTTCAAACCGATGTATCTCTCAAACCACGAGGTCCCAGACAACAATCTACATATGCAATTGAAGCTCTTGAAGAGAATAATCTAGCAGTTCAAACAACGTGTCAATCCGACATCTGACGCGCCGTCAATCACCAAAACAATCCGGCAAGCCAAATTTCCTTTTTCCCATCCGGAAAACCCTAACAATTTTCCTTTTATCCGAGCAGCCTCCTTACACCTTCCTTTTGCTCGATTTTTACTTTCCTTTTGGCTAAAGAAAACCCTATTTATCTTTCCTTTTTGTAGGTGAAAGTTATAGCTTAAGATACAAGCCGCCACAAGTCTCAAGATCAACAAACCCTACCACGGCTAACTCCTTCTCTCTCTCTTTATCTATGTTAATTCATATTATCTTCTTAACTTATGATGTTCATATTATCTAATACTTTTTGTGTAATTTTTCATGAGCTGAGAGAAGCCCTAGCACATGGAGAAGCAACCACCAGCCGCCTTGATCAAGAAACCCTAACAGGCGGCAACTCCTCTCTCTCTCTCTAAAGGTGGTCCGGTTTAATAATCTTCAAACAATGGTATATCTATAAACCCTAATTGATAGAAACCAATAGGTATGGAATCAATAGAGCTATGATAGGATATCTGATAGATTGATTGATTGTTTGAACACTTAGAACCGGATGATAGGATTTAAAATTTGGTTGAACCCTAAACCCTAATCTTTAAACCAGTTTGTTTGTTTGATTGTTCTTGTTTGATTGAATGATTGATGATCTGAGGTTTTAAGATTGAAATTGAATATCTAAAGGGCCTTGAAACCCTAACTACCACAATTAATAAAATCAGGGGGAGGATTGATAAAAAGTTTTGAAATTGATTTTAAGAATTGATAAGGTTAGATGAGTTTTATTATGGATGTTTAAAACCGATCATAAGGGCCTTGAAACCCTAGTTCGTTTTGTGATTTAAAATCTGATCAGAATTTAATTAAGATTGATAGAATTGCATTGCATGGTCGAATGAATTTTACTGCATTTATCTTGTTTAATAAAAACCGACCAGCATATAGTTTTGATGTCATTCTCACCCATTCCGACCAATGCTGAACCATATGAGTTTTGAGTGACCATAATGGTGTGTTTTGTTTGTCTTCACAATGGTCATTGTAGTTACAAGTATGGTTTGGTTTGTGGTTGTAATGTAGTCAAAGAGAATCACAATGTGTATAAAACCCTATTTTGAGCGGTTATGTGTTGAAGCTTGCAAAACTTGACTACACCTGCTCTCAATCTCTTGAGATAATTACATGCAGTGTGCTCTTGATACTATGATCAATTTGAGGTCTAAGGGGTTTTGTGACATTATCACCAAAGGCAACAATGAGACTGAAAAGAATCAATATGGTAGATCCACTAGAGCTTTGGACTGCTTTACAGCAT